GCCTTTCCCCCCTTTTTTTCCAAGACAGAGAAGAGAGACACGCAGAGAGAGAGAGGGGGGACCGGTGGCGTTTTTTGTTGCGATTTCTCTTTTGCTTTATTTTTGAACCGTCAGGCCGTGACGAGGCAGATGAGAGATGAGAGAGAGAGAGAGGTTGGTGGACAGAAGGGGAGAGAGGAGGGAGAGAGAGACATTGAGGAATGCAGCGGGAAGAGAGAGACAGAGAGCCTAATGGACCTTATTTTCTGGATGGGGGAGCTCGAATATATTCTCCTTTATCTCTGTATTTTTTCCTCCCGGAAACACTGAATCAATCAAACATTTAAGGAGGTGCAGGGCTCTTAAGTCAGCTTCTATAAAGGGTAAATAAATAAAATACAACAGGGATGCATAATGACCGCTGGTCCCCTGGCTGTCTCTGTCCCTCTCTGATTCAGCAAGATGAAAATGAAGCTGCTGCCTCTGCCAACACTTTGCCCCTCTAGAGACTCCAGGTTCGGCTTTTACAGAAAGACCCTACAAAGCCAAGACCCCTAATTTGGCAAAATCTTCGTAACTAATTTGCAACAAAACCTCCTGAGCTGGCCCATGTTGATTGAATTTCTGGGAGCAAGTGGTTAATTTGTTTGGTCAGTGGGATGAATTGGTGGACTTCAGTCATTGAACTCACCCAGCTGCAAGAGACGTCAAGTGTTGTAATGTCATGTATTTCCAAATGATTATTTCAGTCCACAAGAAAGGGGAGCAGTCTCTTATAAAAATTCAGGGAAATTGGTGTGTATTTTCTCTACTTTATCATGATAAAAACCTGTGAGCTATAATTTAGCTCAAGGCCAGCACCATTCCTAATGCCTAAAACATGGCATAAAGCCTCAAAATGAGAGCTAGTATGACTTATTCAGAGAATTATACTACAGTGGCCGATAAACAAATGCCTTCATAGAATGTGTAAGTTTTTGTCCCTATCAGTATTTATAGGCTTGGAAAATAAATTTCAAACACATAATCCCCCATAGCCTACCCCAAGAATGGCGAGAGTCTGAACGCCTAATGCCAACAGTAAATACACAGATAAGTGAATAAATAGTTATCTGGAGGTTTTTGTAGGTCACAAGTCATTCCTCTCCATCTCTTTACAAAGCAAGGCGTATTTCATGCCCTGGCCCAGATAGGAAGGGTGAAAGGAACCATTTCATTTACTCTTATCTGAAAAAGAAGGAGAGAGAGAGAGGCAGAGGGAGAGAGAGTCTTTTCCGCAGATACCTGTGGTGAGGACGGCGTAGCACAGTAGGCTTCTATAAACGACCCTGCAAAAATTGTGCTTCCATTCACCGAGAGGTTTCAGGAAATAATAATAAAGAGAGGAGCACGGAATAATGCCTTTACACAACTATACAAAGCAGTCACAGAGAGTGAGCGTTTCAGACCTGAATTTGTCCATGTAGGTCAGCAGGCGCTTTCTTGCTTTGAGGAATATCTGAAAAAATGCATGTGTGGGTGTCCTCTCTCTGCATTAACAGAATGGGACATGAAGTCACAGGAATTAGCCGGCGGATTGCTCCTATTTTACAAAAACAGTAGGATTTCGGGGTGTCCTGTTAAAGCACCGACTACAAGCATCTGTTGGATGTTATTTTTCATCTCCTTTACTTTCTTTTTGCTCATAAAATTTCTAATAAAAGGACAAAATCTGGTTTAAAAAAAGTGGGATCAGCAGCAGCAGATCGGAGTGGTTTCCAGTGAACTGAGGATCTAAGGAGATGGGTGCACCAAGACATAAAGCTCTGTGGAGTCAGTTGTGATTTTGGCCTTTAAAAATAAAACTATTTTGGTGCTTCACTGTGTACCTGAGGTGCAAAGAGTTCACAGAGCACATTATTAATATCAGGAACTATCAGCAGGCTCACTGGGAGCCAGCAAAGTTGTCATCATTCATGGAATACCAAAGAGGCCATACTTATTTTTTTTTATTTACAAAACAGCAGTACAGAGAGCAGCAACAACTTACATCTAGATCACATGTAGAGCATTCAGTGATAACCTCATGAGGGTCCACATGATCTGAGTCCACTGTTCAACTCTTGAAGAGCTGTGGCTGCTTGAGACAAATTCTAGCTCACCAAAATCAAACACTGCAGTTTTCTCACTTCTCACTCTTCATTCAGACACAACTGTGTGTCATATTATTGCATCGTTGCCCATCAGACTTACCAAAAGCATAGAGAAATATATACGTATACTATGTAAAAAAAACCACGTTACCTTAGTCAGGAATGATTCTCCGAGCCACAGCTGAGATTTAGCTCTGAAGTTGGAAGACTTGTGAGAGCTAGATTTTAAACAGGATAGTTTAAATTAAAGCAGCGCAGGTGCAGCCTTTTAATCCCAAGTCTGTGTGAAGCTCCACAAAAGCCTGATTGTATATTTTTCATACACAGCAACTCAAGATCATCTGCAATAAACCCTGGACGTTTGCTAAAAGTTGCTGTTTCTCAAAGTTCATTCTGCCAGTTTACAGGCAGGCCTTCTTCTCCAATTTGTGGCATCTAAACCAAAGATGACATTACCTCGGTGACATCATCAGGGTTGTTTTCAGGGAAGCAAACTGCATTTAAACACTTCATTGACAACTTACTGTTATTAATAAACCAATCCTGATCTGTAAAATCAGTGGAGTTTACCTTTAATTCATCTCTCGGATCACAGAAACAAAAAATTGAAATCTGGATATTTAAATATGTATTCTTTAAGTTAGAAGATGAATCCTTTCAATAGATGTGATTATATTGTCTTTAAAGTTCACACTAGTTGTTAAATTTCATGCCATTCAGTCCTTGAGCTCTGGTTGCACCCCAGGGGCACAGGGGCATTGCATAAACAGATATTGCCCAGTCTACATATTGCTGTCTTTCGTAAAGAGTGATTGCTTTTCAAATTGTGCTGTCTGCAGCAGGCGTCTGCATAATGAGGCTTCCTCTTTCTGGGGAAAAGAAAAAAAAAGTAGTAAGGAAGAGAGTGACCATTCACATTAGCCGTTTGGAAATGGCTTTGTTTGATTTCATAGAGTGAGACTCTCTAGACTTCACATTTCGCTATTTATCTGCCATGTATTGACCTATTTATATTTAAGCTGGAGAAAGCTGTGTGCTTCTTTATTTTATGCTGATGGGGAGAAGACGAGGACAGGGGGACAGGTTCAGGGGGACAGCTTGGTGTTTTAGGGGGTATCCCTGCTGGGGTTATGTGTTTAAAATCTATTACCCCCACAGCTAGGATTAGTGTCTGTGAGAGAGAGTGTGCGTGTGTGTGTGTGTGTTTCCCCTAAAGACGTAATCACTATGGTAATACAAAAGCCAGTGGATTAAATGGTAAAGAAATTCTAGTTGATTTATGCTGCGCCTTTGGTGAGATACATACATGCACAGTATATACATACACACATGATTCAGAAGAGGGAGAAGGAGTGTTGCAAACACAGGCTTTCTGTCTTGCTCACAGTTTATCACTCAGTGTTTCAGCTGGCGGATACAGTGGTTAGCACTGTCACCTCAAATCAAGAAGTTCTTGGGCTCTGACCCGGTCCGACTCACCGGAGCTTTTCATGGCAGAGCTTGTTAATGTATAATTGTGGTCAATTTTTTTAATGTGGCAGTTTGTGCAACTGCTTCCTGCTGACCTGCTCAGAATGTGCCAGTGGATGCTTGGATGAGCTCCATAACAGGATAACTGCTGTAGAAACTAGATTAATGCAGACAAGATATATAAATATGAATCAACTTGCTTATTTGCTTTTCCCTCCAACTCACAGCCATTTTCTATTTATTGTCCAGACTCCTCCGCTCCTGCCGCTTTAATCAGTCGGTCAAAAATGGAAATTTCTCAGGCAGCTTTCTAATGGGCAGCTATGATCTTCTGTGTTTTATGGCTACAGTTGAAGAATTTTAAAAAGCGTAAAACAATCCCGCTAAATAAAGATTATTCTGCAGTGTAAAGGTTCAGCTTGTCTTCTGTTCTAGTCTGGTGTAGACCAGCCTTGCTGTCTTTCATTCATTTCCTCTATAACTTTCATCCCTCAGGGGGAATATTAGTGGTATCTTTCACTAAGGGGCCAGTGCGAGGCCTTGGTCAATAATTAATTGAAATCCCTTCATTTACTCGAAATCTTTGCTTAGCTTGCCGCTGGTGAAATTGGGCAAACTTTGCACTTTGGAATAGTCCGAGTGGTATTATTATGCTGAGCAGGATAAATCAGTGGCAGGAGGGAAATCAGATGTATTTGAGATAGTAAATTAACTCAAGCTGAGGGATTGGAGCCAAGAAAGTCTGGCTGTTACCATTTCCTCACCCAAGTTCATAAAGAATAGGATTCTTGTACATGTTGTACATGTTTTCAGTGTTGGTCTTTGATTTAAGGGAGCTGCTAATGTCAGAGTGCTGCAGCTTTACCAACTGTTGAAGGGCAGAAATAAGCAACATTTTACTGAGAGAGAACAGGGTTTATAAAACAGAGAAGGTAGGATCTGGATGCTGTACTCCAGTGATGCTGATGTACGATGCAATGGCTGTGTGAACTGCCATTTAACAAGGTTTCTTACCTTCAGCTGCTTCAGTGAATCTGCTTAGCAGTCGGCATCAGAGGACTGCAGTCTGAAACCACCTTCAACCTATGATTGTGTGGGAAAAGTCGAGTTATCAGAGGTCCAACATGTACCGCTTTATTTTGCCATTCAACATTTTTTCAATTCTTAACAAGAATCTGATTATATTAACTACCAGGCCTTGGACAGTGATGATGGAGTAAATTCAGAAGTTTTTATCAACGTTTTTTTGTTTTTTCACCAGCACCCTTTTATTAGTTGCACATGTGCAAGTCTGCTAAAATTCCTCTCTCATGCCTATAAACTGTGAATAAATAGAGCCAAGCCATAACATTTTTTCTGTTACTCATCCTTGGCCTTGTTCTGATCAATCTCAAACAGTGTCTGCTCTCTCTCCTCCAGGACATGGTGGAGTCAACCAACTTGGAGGTGTGTTTGTAAATGGCAGGCCCCTCCCAGATGTAGTCCGACAGCGAATAGTAGAACTTGCCCATCAAGGCGTTCGGCCCTGCGACATCTCACGTCAGCTACGAGTCAGCCACGGATGCGTCAGCAAAATACTGGGCAGGTAAACGGCACACGAACACAGTCCTGAGAATACACACAGTCGCATCGCTGTGCTGTAAACAGATGGCAGAGGTGTAAAAAATGTCAACCGTCTTACACCATTATCTATTTTCAACACTGTCCTTTTTTGCATAAGGTGGACCTTTAAAGTGCTGCGATATGAAACAGGGCCAAAAAATGTATGCACCTGTTTTATTTTGTGGTCATTATGGTTAGTTTTTTTGACAACAGAAGGAATAAACACACACACAGGCTGCTTCAGTGGTGGCTAAGATTCCTCTAAGGTCACACTGATGCATTTAGTGTCAATTCTACTTTTTTCCTCAGTTTTCTTCAGCATAAACAAGTCGTGTTCTCGGAGGTGTCTGGGTTCATTCTCGCTTGCCACTTATTTCTCTTCCTCTTACTTCCCTCGCTCTGCTCTCTGTGCTCTTTTCTTGCCTTTTCACCTTCCTCTCTCTCTCTTGCTCTCTCTCCTCTGTATCCTGTATTTCTCGTCCGACCCCTCTCAATATTTCTGTTTCTCCTCACCCCCCTTTTCTCTCTCTTTCGCTGTCTGTCTCTGCCTTTTCAAAGCTAAATTCAAGAGTAAATCCCTGCTCGTTCCGTCCCCCAGAGAAGAAAGGGGGACAAAAGGGAAAAGATTCATCACTTTTTGGAATTAGCATCAAAATGAAAGTGGCACCATATTTCTGCACCCCAAAAAAAAAAAAAAAAAAAGACAGAGCGAGATGGAGAATGGGAGAAAGACAAGAACAAGGGACACAATCAAAAGGGAAAAGGCGTGTTAAAGAAGAAGAGTGCAGGAAAAAAGAAAAAATGAATGAGAGACAGAGAGACCATTTGTGGGGACGGAGAGGAAGGATTAGCTGCAGCGACCCTCAGCTATATCAAAAAATGTGTTGCTCATTGTTCTCCCATGCCTCTCTTCCTCTCTCTCTCTCCCCCTCTCTCTCTCTTTCTGTCTTTCTCTCTCTATCTCTCTCTCTCTCTCTCTCTCCTTTCCTGGCCGTTCAACTCACTGAAGCGTTACCGTGAGGGGGGAGGAGAGGGGATCGAGGGATGGAAGGAGGGAGGGAGGGTTGTTTTATCCTCTCCTCTCTGTCTCTCTGGTGCCAGCAGAACAAAAACACCAACTCTACCACCCTGTGTGTTTGTGTGTGTGTGTGTCTTTGTCTGTGTGTGTGTGTGTGTGTTGGCTCATCGTTGTGCAGATATCAATAACCACGCTCGTTTATTCACCAATGATTCAGCTGTGAATAATTTAAATAGTTTTCCATTTGAAAATAGATTGTTTTTCCTTTAGCTGTGTTTATACTCCAGCTGTGAATAGTCAAAACGTGCACACACACACACATATGCGTAACATGCACACACACACACACACACACACACACACACACACACACACACACACACACACACACACACACACATAAGAAAAAAAAGACAAGGAAGTGCACATTTACAGGAACTCACATCTTCACGGAAAGGATTACTCTTCCGTACAGTGGAGAGAGAGAGAGAAGAGAGCAGCAGCAGGTTTAAGACTGACTGACAGCTTGCATCCACACACAGCATCCCCCCTTTTCTGCAAGCTGTGTAGCGCATTTGCTGTCCTCCCACCCCCTGCTTCCTTGCCCCTTCTGCATGCAAATACATTCATGAAATAGCCATGGTGGACACCAAACGCCTGAATCTGTGTGTGTGTGTGTGTGTGTGTGTGTCTTCCTACCTCTGTGTCACAATGTGAAATTGCTTAAGAAAACAGCAGCCGTTCGAAGGATGAGCCGGGCATCAGAAATATTTCGTGACAGGTGTTTGATACGTTCACATTTAGTCATTTAGCTGACACTCGCATCTGCAGCAATATCGAATAACTGCAGCATTATGTAACTGGAGGTGAGGGCTTTACTCCACTTTTATTTAACAAGGTAAGTCAAAGACAGGGTGAACTGACCAAATAGGTCAAGCTCACAAAATCACGCTAGAATAGTATAAAGAGAAAAGGCCAAAAAGATGGTCACTTACCAAAAAATGTACCTAATTTTATTAACCAGTTGAATCGAATAACTGGTAAGAGCAGAGTTCTGTCTTTCCCACCTCCATCCAAACATTGGTGACAGAGTGTATTAATTAGTAAATATTTGTCAGCACAGTATTTTATAAAATATAGAAATTGTTGGTTAAAGAACAATTTTTTTTTCAAGCCCATCTCAATGCAATAGCCAGATGTCCATGCAATATATGACGACTGAAACATCATTCCTCCTTGTATATGAATATATATATATTCCTTGCGGATGTATGAGTGAGTGACAAAATCCATGGTACTCGCTCTTTTGCAAAAACATATTTTAATGTTTAGCCAATGCGAGGCTTCAGCAGACTGAGTAATTCAGATCAAGATGGAAGTTGTCGTCTTTTTAGTGTGAAATTCCCCCGGAAAATATTCCATTGCTAAACTGTAGTCGAAAGATACACAGAAAGGGCATTTCATACTCAAAAGGTTGTGACTTTGGAGCCACTAAAGCAGACTAATTTTAGCTTCTGGATAAATTAAAGATAGCTTGTTTGCATAGAATCACCATCAATCACTTTATTTTGTCTATACGTACAGCAAAAACATGAAGAGCCAACAACAAGTTTTAATCAACATGGAAACATGAGTGTTGACTTGAAAGAATGAGAGTCTGTCTATCTTTTAAGAAACAAGACACAAGACAGGAGGATCAAATGCAAGTGCAGGAGTGGCTGGGATGTGAAGTGTTTTTTTAAGAGTTTGAATTTAAGCCAGAAAGAAGTCCTGGCCGCAGAGGGAAGGTCATTTCTCCTCTGGAGAGCTCGGAGGGAAAGGGGTTGAGGCTGAGTGGAACAATGTTCAAATCACCACCAGGAGAGGTGAACTAAAGGGGCAGTGAAACAGAAGGGTGTTTTTATGTTATATGCCGGCTGTCTGGAGTCCAGATCTGCTGAGTTTAGCTACGAAGCAGAACTCTATAGAATTAACTGAAGAGGTTTAAAACTGCCTTGCCCATCATGATTTGTAAAGGTAAGTAAAGTAAAGGTGTCTCCTAAAGGATAAGCAACAAAAACAAAAAACAAAAACTAAACTATTTTTTTCTTGTCATCAGCTAGTCCCATGAAAAGACCAAAGTCCCGATTTTATCCTACTAACAAGTACTGTCTGTGCAGCCAAAGCCTGATATATCTTACTCCTCAGAGCTCTTGACCTTCACTGTTGTCCATAAACTGATAAAGACACAGAAACAAGCCAAACTGTTGCACTTGGTGACATGATATTTCATGTGGGACACCGTAGTTTACTTTGATTTGAATCTATATACATGTGATGCTGCTGTAAATGTCACGAGAGCACAAATCCGTCCCTGTGAGTCGATACACAACTCTGATGGCATTAAGAAAAGTATAGAGCAGTGCTAGCCTTATGTTTTAAGAAAGAGAACTTGTTTAGATTCTTATTTAGGTGGGAGTTAATTGTTTTTGCACAATCACCTGAAATAAATAGATATTGTCAGATGTCAAATGAGGTCACAGTCACGACCATATAAACTTTAACTTGATTCATCTCCTCGGCCTCATCTTTATTAAATGCTGGTTTTGAATAAAAATGTATTGTTTTGCATTTTTTAAAATTAAAATGTTTAATTTCAAGTTAGCGCCGCACATTTTAAGCAGCTTAAAACACCCTGTGGAAGCAATATAAAATTATTAAAAAGACAGATAATTGAAAACAGACTACACAGATTCAATCTGCTTCTAGTATTCTGACAAGCTTTATGTGCTTTCCTTTCTGACCAATTTCTTCTATGCCTTATTTGGCAGGTACTATGAAACGGGCAGTATCCGCCCCGGGGTAATCGGGGGATCCAAACCAAAGGTTGCTACACCAAAAGTGGTCGACAAGATCGCCGATTACAAACGCCAAAACCCCACCATGTTTGCCTGGGAGATCCGGGACAGGCTCCTGGCCGAGAGAGTTTGTGACAACGACAGCGTCCCCAGCGTCAGCTCCATCAACAGGTACCACAGTGTGTGTGATCTGAATGTTTGTTTGAACATTAACTTATAGCAACAGGTACTGAGCGTAGGTAGAGCACAGAGCAATATAATACTGTGTGTTTTATGTGTGTGTGTCTGTTTGTGTGTGTGAGTCCGGGAGTGGAAAGGAGAATAGCAAAGAGGCCCCAGTCTCCATATGTATGAAGTGGCTGCAGCTCAGTGGTTCAACACGATGGTACAATGACAACCCTTTCCCCTGAGCATAGAGGCAGAGAGAGAGGGAGGGATAGTGAAATAAGAGAGAGAAGGAGTGAGCAAAAGAGGCAGACAAAAGCGAAGGAAGGTGTGGGTAAGGAAAGAAACAGACACAAAAGGAAAGGAAAGAAAGGAAAAGGGAGGAAAGGAAATGAGAGGAGAGGAAAAAGGGAGGAAAGGAAGAGAAGGGAAAGGAAAGAGGAAGAAAAGGCTTGCATGAGCAGCCAAGCAGGAAGTGTGAGGCCCCTCTGCCATGTCAGCCTGCCTCAGCCACTTCACACCACACACACACACATACACACACACAACATCAAACACACAACACCACGCACGCACACAATCACACACGGCTGCGCACACACAGTTTTGCTCCCACGATGGTCATGTTCTCACTGTCACTCAGAGTCTCTCTCACACACACTCACACAATCCACTTCACACACTCTAATATCTCCTCTCTCCTCCTGCAGGATCATTCGGACTAAGGTTCAGCAGCAGCCCGGTCAAACGGGCTCAGTGTCGGCTCACAACTTAGGTAGGTCACCACTATAAAATCCTGTTTCCAACTGTCAAAGCAAATTTTACAGAAGAGCCATTTTTGTGTGAATCTCTCCGGAGCGGAGCTTGTGTGCCGAGCAACAAAACGTATTGAAATTCTGGACCCTCACTGCCGTAGACACACAGTACGAGATGCGATGTGCCACGAAGTTCATCGCTTGAATACAAAATTACAGTTAGCTAATGAAATGCAGGCTTTGCTTGTTCCGTTTTCCACTGAATAAGAACATTCAGGTGTTTTACTGGGGTGTTTGGTAAAGTGAGGGTTGCCTGATGGTCGGGTTTGTTTCGCTTTTGTCGACAAATTGAGAGCTGACTGAAGACAGAGACAGTGAGAGAGCAACTCATGGGCAGTTTGTGATCAGCGTTCATGTCCACATCCAAGTTGTAATACCTAACTCGAGTATTTTATCGGAAACTGGGAACGGTGTTACAACCATGAACAGAGGTGTTTGAAACATGATGGAGTAAAATGAAGTAGTCAAACGGGAGGTACCATGTTCTAAACATTCAACATCATGAAAGCTGTCGGAGCTCACAACATCCTAAGATATTCTGCTAAACATTACTCCAGACCATCTCTCTGGAACATATTTCACAATTCCTTCCTAAACAGGGATCTAAAACAGCTTAATGCTCGTCAAGCAAGTGAATAAGCATTTTTAAAACAGAATATTTCTGTTCACATATTTAAGTTTAAGGCTTGATTGACCTGAAAAAAAGCCCATATTTGCTGTGTCATCTGGTAGGTAGTGAACTGTACTGTTGTTTGGGAAGATGCATCACTAAATCAAACCATCTATTGAAATGATAAACACTTAAAAAAAAAAGTCCTGCAGCATTATTGGTTTTGCTTACTGTCCACTGTCACTCAGTGCTCACCTTTATAAAGAATCGGTGGGTCTCTATCCATAATTTAATGAATGTTTATCTTCTATTTGAAGTGAAAAGAGTGACTTGACTGGTCTGTCTGGTGGCATAGACTGGTGCATAGACTATTCATAAATACATTTGTGTGTTTATGAATGGAGGGCACTGATTTCTGTACCTTTAGCAAGTTAATCCAACTATGTTTTGTTTTACCAGTATAGCAGATTGCAAAGATGTTTGGTAAAATCAGCAGCAGAGATAAACTTAAATGTGATTCTGCCCTTTAGAATAAGTGAAAAAAGTGCACAGTTCAGTTCAGCAGAGACACAGTTGTGGAAATCAGTAATTCTGAAAGGTCTACATATTCCAAAATATGTCAGCAATGAGGATATTATTACAGCATCCTCCTTTTGAACATAAAAAAAAAACCCTCTTTGAACCTTTGTTCAGATTCACAACATCTCAATGTTCCTTTGTTTCTGATTATCATGTTACAGGCTGCAGCAATGTACAGTTTCTATTTCAGCTATGACTGAAACATTATTTCCTTTAATTCGATGAATATCTCAGAGTGCAAACAAATACAGCAGCCTTTCTCTCCTCCTCACTTTGCCCTGCAGTGGATTGTGTTTCGGTGTCTCTCATATCTTCATAATCGCACATTGTCTATTAATCTAAATTAATTTCACACACACTGCTCCCTAACTCCTGCCTTTTACTCACATTTAGCAAATGCGCACATACACACCCACACACGTACACACCTAGACGCACCGAGGAACACGCACACACGCGCACGCACACTTACAGATTACACAGATAAATGGGTCCCACTCCCAGGCGGAAAATTGAACATTTGGATTTGCAGAATAAAAGCGTTACGTTCTGATAAAAAAAAAAAAAAGAGTGAAAAGAAAGAGAAAGGAAAATCAGATAATTGAAGTGCTAAATCAAGTGATGGGAAAAGGAGGGATATGCATTCATTATACTCTCCTTGTCGTTAGCGAAGGAGTAACGGCTGGAAGGGACTTTGATCCCTTGGTCTGTTTTTTTTTCTTTTCTTTTTTTTTTTTTATTCCCTTTTCGGTCTTGTCTTTCTGTGTTTGGGGGGTCTGCTGGGAGAGAGGATTAGGATGTCTGTCTCCACACCTTTCTGTCCCTCCTGGGATACCATACTGTCACTCAGCCCCACGTCCGCTTACAGGGGCATAGATAAGGGACCAAGGAGTGAGTGACTGTATGTTTCAGTCTGTGTGTGTGTGTCAGGAGGGGGCAGAGGTGTGTGTGTGTGTGTGTGTGTGTGTGTGTGTGTGTGTGTGTGTGTGTGTGTGTGTGTGTGTGTGTGTGTGTGTGTCACTGAAGCGGTGACAAGTATGTCGCTGTGTCGCCCAGCGAGGAACTTGTCTCCTCCAGGGGGAAGATTAGAGGAAGAGACAACAAGGAGCAAAACACTAACAGAAGCCTGTCCTTTGTGTCTTTTCCTCTTGCCGCAATTTAGTCAGTGTGGCTGAGACAAGTTTAAAGAATCACGATTAAAGTGAATCTATGTTGAGTTTATAGAGAGAATAAAGAGGATTTAAATGATGCGGGTCTCACTCAGAGGTTTTTTGTTCTCTATCTTCGGTATCACAAACAACACGCATTTGATTGCTGTTCTTCTAAAAGAAAAGGGCATTTCAGTTGTTCAGAAATAGCTTTGGAACTCAGAATTCAGAGTCTATTTTTTCATTTATTGATTGTAAATGACATCGGCATTACACAGCTCATTTTGGCACTACCAGAGTTTGATGACATAGCATGCGATAATATGTTAGTTTAACATGTGGTAGAGTATGATAAAGCTCGCTCCATCTTCTTTCTATCTTTTTTTAAAATTATTTTTGTTTATCATTTTTGTTAGCTGTTGTTTTCATCTTATTCATAGCTATCTGAGATTCTATCATATGACTGTTGTTCAAACAGTGCTTATAACTGCTTTTAGGAATTTTAAACAGTGCCCAAAAAAAAGAATGGTTCCATTATGCTCCATTAAAGGTGATCATTTCAGTGATGTTTTATCGTACGAAGCCTAACCCTGATTCCTTAAACCCCACTTACAGAGAAACTTTAGTTTCTTTTGGACACAGACTAACTTTGGCTGTTCCTTATGCAATATTTTTCGGGATTTTTCATTTATGCAAATTAATAATTATGTTAATGAGTCAATTTTGGCTTAATGAGTTGATAAAGTTTTAAGATTTTAGGAGTACAGTGGGCACACTTTTTCACACACGCATCACTGTTTAGTTTTGTCCCTATTATTTAAGCTCACAGAATAAAAAGCAGCAGTGCATCCACATCAGGCTCATTGTAATGTTTGTTTGCTGCAGGGCTTGTATTCACAAAACAAAATGAACAAAATATGCATACTGGTAGCAGAGATCACAATGAAACTTAGAAACGACACCAAAGAGATGTGTAATTCAACATTTTGATTATCTGTCTGTGATATTTTTTTTTTCGTGGTGCACCCGTCAAACTGTTAGCTTTGTCGTGTGATTTGTCTGCAGCAACGTCCGTGGCTGCCACACAGGTCTCAGCGGTGACCAGCGACTCAGCCGGCTCCTCATACTCCATCAGTGGCATTCTGGGTATCAGCTCAGCCGCTGATGTGGGCAAAAGGAAGAGGGACGAAGGTGAGGAGCAAACAATTATGCTGTGTATGGCTGCTTCTTATACTTTGGGTGGAATTTTTCATGCACATGTATACAAATACACAACATGCATAAACACATTACATGAGGAGTGCCTCAGGACCTCCTCCTCTACATATCAGCGTGGAAAACCCAGGTGGAACAAACTCAACACATGAGGATCAATGACAGATGTGTGCTTGTGTGTGTGCAGTGTACGAGCTCTAAACCAAACATCTTCATTCAGAAGCCCAGATTTGTTTACTCACAGTGCTTCACTGAGAGCTACCTGAGAAGTTAGTTTATGCATGCACTATTGATCATATACGCTGTCATACTGGATCAATGTTGCATGTTAATAGCGGGGCGAGCTCGTGTTTGTGTGTGAGGCTTCTCAAACGTACCGTATGTATATATTTGTGTGCGTACATGTGTGCACGATTATGAGTGCGTATGTGGCAGTGTCAGTGGCATTAAAAAGCCATCACACAGACGGTCTCCTACGGTAAATGAGACAGGACCAGATGTCGGAGCGAGGGGGGGTGACAGAATGCCACTGGGGGCTATTTCTCGCTCTCTCTCTGACACACAAACACACACACAAACACAAGCACACAGATACAGTATGGGGTCTTTTTCCCACTGCTGATGAATTTTCAAAACATTCCAGCAGGTTCCAGGATGAATCCCAGGTGCACCTTGATATGCTCCGATACAGTCCACTTACCCATCAGTAGAGCACAAAGACTTTACACCCAACACAGACACACACACAAACACACACTCATATATATACACTGTAGACACACTGGATCAAAGTTCGCCTCGCTATGTGAACTAAGCAGTGTTTGCCGCTCAATAACTGTGAGCTTTAGTTTTACTCTTGGTTGAGCTGAAAAACTTGGTGTATCAATAAAAGCAAAATGCAACTAAGTGCAATTAAAACAGACTTAGTGAATAAATCTTGACGTACATGAAGCGAGCAACTCAAATATCTACTGAAGCTTTGGATCTACTGCAGACAAAAAACTGTGGCAGACAAAAACAGTTATGTGATGAGAAGACTGCATCACTTTTCCACAATATTTTAGTTTTTGTCGTCTTGTGCACATCTCATCTTATCTTCATGTGCAATATGTGCATAACACAACTGAAAAGAAATTAGTTGCAATATGTATAGTTCTGCCAAATTTTGTTAGTTCTAATTTGCACTAATTACTGTAGTGGCTTCTTTTAAATCAGATCATACCACTTTATAGAACTGAAATGTAATGCAGGCCAACAATTATGCCCTTTACAACAGAAGTATCAACTCAAGACTAATTACATTGTCAGTGCAGGTTCACTGAATGGACGATGAATGGATCATTAATGTTATTGTTGTAAGTAGTTAGTAATGTTACACCTGTGCATTTGCAGCAAAAGTAAGTCAAAACGTCTGCAGTGGTCTATCAGGTGTCTACTTGTTTTAGAGGCCATATATTATTAACACAAATAATACGAAACATGTTCAATTACATGCATGTATCCCACAATATTATGTGCTCTAATGTCTTCTGTGGTCAGATTTGTAGTTGAAGAAGAAGTTCTGTAATCTAATTAGCAGCATTATTGTCTCACATTGTTCTTTATGTGCATGACATGCAACACTATGTGTGATCCGCCTGTTGGTTTTCTATGACTGGACTTTGTGTTTCAGAATTTGAATCGCAACGTTGCATCGCATCACGTTTTGCCGAAGTACTCGGAACGCGTCACTCGAGCATCACATCGCTCCGTGTCACGTTTTGCCCGTGTGTTTTATCTGCAGTGTTTCTATGGCAGAGGTCTGCGCGGTTGGCTCTGTGGTCTAATTAACAGCATTGCTAATCACAGCTTCCATTAGAGCAGCCCCCGCTGGATAATGACACACACACACAGCAAGGGGCGACAGGGGGAACAGCATGCACTGACATGGACAGACAAACACATACACAGGCAAACAATAAAGCAGGCTTCTCGCACACACTCGGACCCATATGCTAGTCTGTACGGGCATTCTCGCGCACACACACACACACACACACACACACACA